GTGTGCTCTGGTTAGCTTGTGCTCTGGTTAGCTTGTGCTCCTGTTATTAGTGTGCGCTCTGGTTATTAGCGTGTGCTCTGGTTAGCGTGCGCTCTGCTGGTTAGCGTGTGCTCTGGTTAGCGTGTGCTCTGGTTAGCTTGTGCTCTGGTTAGCTTGTGCTCTGGTTAGCTTGTGCTCCTGTTATTAGCGTGTGCTCTGGTTATTAGCGTGCACTCTGCTGGTTAGCGTGTGGTCTAGTTATTAGCGTGTGCTCTTTTTAGCGTGTGCTCTGGTTAGCATGTACTCTGGTTATTAGCATGTGCTCTGGTTATTAGCGTGTGTTCTGGTTATCTTGTGCTCTGGTTATTAGCGTGTGCTCTAGTTAGCGTGCGCTCTGCTGGTTAGCGTATGCTCCTGTTATTAGTGTGTGCTCCTGTTATTAGTGTGTGCTCTGGTTATTAGCGTGTGCTCTGGTTAGCGTGCGCTCTGCTGGTTAGCGTATGCTCTGGTTAGCGTGTGCTCTGGTTAGCTTGTGCTCTGGTTAGCTTGTGCTCCTGTTATTAGCGTGTGCTCTGGTTATTAGCGTGCACTCTGCTGGTTAGCGTGTGGTCTAGTTATTAGCGTGTGTTCTTTTTAGCGTGTGCTCTGGTTAGCGTGTACTCTGGTTATTAGCGTGTGCTCTGGTTATTAGTGTGTGCTCTGGTTAGTTTGTGCTCTGGTTATTAGCGTGTGCTCTAGTTAGCGTGCGCGCTGCTGGTTAGCGTATGCTCTGGTTAGCGTGTGCTCTGGTTAGCTTGTGCTCTGGTTAGCTTGTGCTCCTGTTATTAGCGTGTGCTCTGGTTATTAGCGTGCACTCTGCTGGTTAGCGTGTGCTCTAGTTATTAGCGTGTGCTCTGGTTAGCGTGTACTCTGGTTATTAGCGTGTACTCTGGTTATTAGCGTGTGCTCTGGTTATTAGCGTGTGCTGTGGTTAGCTTGTGCTCTGGTTATTAGCGTGTGCTCTGGTTAGCTTGTGCTCCTGTTATTAGCGTGTGCTCTGGTTAGCATGCGCTCTGCTGGTTAGCGTATGCTCTGGTTATTAGCGTGTGCTCTGGTTATTAGTGTGTGCTCTGGTTAGCGTGTGCTCTGGTTAGCGTGTGCTCTGGTTATTAGCGTGCGCTCTGCTGGTTAGCGGGTGCTCTAGTTATTAGCGTGTGCTCTGGTTATTAGCGTGCGCTCTGCTGGTTAGCGGGTGCTCTAGTTATTAGTGTGTGCTCTGGTTAGCGTGTGCTCTGGTTATTAGTGTGTGCTCTGGTTAGCCTGTGCTTTGGTTAGCCTGTGCTCTGGTTAGCTTGTGCTCTGGTTAGCTTGTGCTCCTGTTATTAGTGTGTGCTCTGGTTAGCGTGCGCTCTGCTGGTTAGCGTGTGCTCTGGTTATTAGTATGTGCTCTGGTTAGCGTGCGCTCTGCTGGTTAGCGTATGCTCTGGTTAGCGTGTGCTCTGGTTAGCTTGTGCTTTGGTTAGCTTGTGCTTTGGTTAGCTTGTGCTCCTGTTATTAGCGTGTGCTCTGGTTAGCGTGTGCTCTAGTTAGCTTGTGCTCTGGTTAGCTTGTGCTCCTGTTATTAGTGTGTGCTCTGGTTATTAGCGTGTGTAACTGTAGTAGTTCTTCTGTCGCGCTCTCATTCCCCACACATTACAAATGGCTTCTTTATAGTGTGTAATAGTGTGTTTCCTCCCCATCGATTCATCATCCTCAGCCACTTCATCTCCCATTTTATCTCCCTTTACTCTCACACACTTCCAGTCTCCCTCTCGCTGAAGAACTCGATGAAGAAATTATAGCTGCGATATTAAACTGTCTCTGGTGAACACTTCATCCATTACGCAACGCTTGCCCACCAGCGCTTACAAATCACACTCAAAGAGCTGCATGAAACAGGCAAGACTCTCACAAGTTAGTTAGTAACCATATTAAACTGTATTCTGTTACATTTCTGGTTAAAAAGTCACTAAAGAAGGAGGAAATTAGTTTTTTAATCCCCTAATTTCTAATCGAATATCCCATTTTCACACAGAAAGAACATTATGAGAGTAAAATGGGTTGTGAAGAGCTTCATTTAGATATTAAATGTAAACATAATTTTGATGGAAGTGATAGAGATAAATGTGTCTGTAAATGAACATGATGGGCTCTGCTTATAATAATACTTCACAATAACTTTGTCTGTGAGTGAAGGGAAAGAATCAGAAGGTTAGATATTCAGAGTTCATGTATATGTCAGCTGGGCAAAATGGAGGCTGGAGGTCAAAGGGTCGCATTTAAGATGTGATTTTCATCACGTCCTTTAAGTCTTTCAAGAGTCAAACGTCAGTAATAAACACTGGATATATTTAGCTGACAGGTACATGTGTTTCTGCTTTAGGGCATCTGTAGACAAACACAAACTCAGTGAGTTCTTCAGACACATCAGTATATTTGCATGGTGTTTGTGCACAGTAAGGGCTTTTCCTCAGTTGCTTGTCTACAAAGTAAATCCAAATCAATCGGCTGTTTGTCCACACACACACTACTGAAACTGATGTTTTCAGACCCACATTTATGAGGAAGTTTTGAACATTCATAAATACCGAAAACCTTCTTAGAACATGTTTTTTTTAGCTTTGGTAATATCAGCTGGTCTGTATGGAGGCTTGTTTCTGCCACTGAATAATAAAAAATAAAAATGCAACTTTTTATCTCCCAATTCTGACTTTTTTCTCACAATTCTGAGAAATAAAGTCACAATTCTGATCAATAAAGTCGCAATTCTAAGAAATAAAGTCGCAATTCTGAGAAATAAAGTCACAATTGCAAGATATAGGTTTGCAATTCTCGAAAGTTCTTGCAATTCTGACTTTTTTCTCTCTCAATTATTACTTTATAACTTGAAATTATGACTTTATATCTCGCAATTTTGACTTTATATCACGCAATTATGACTTTATGTCACAATTATGACTTTATATCACACAATGACTTTATATCACGCAATTATGCCTTTATATCTGCCAATTTTTACTTTATATCACGCAATTATGACTTTATATCTCGGAATTATGACTTTTTTCTCACAACTCTGAGATATAAAGTCAGAATTGCGAGATATAAAGTCTCAATTACTATAGATTTTTTTTATTCAGTGGCAGAAACAAGCTTCCATAAATCTGTCTGTCTTGAAAATGATCTTAAATCATCAATCTCAATATGCTTAGCTAATGTCCTTCGATCGTTGGCTAAATGGATCTAACACCCTGAGGATGACGTTATGAACCCCAGTCTGAGCAGGTGGTGAAACGCAAACACGTACTAAACTCATGTTTGATGCCGCTAATGACGGATCATCCGGACGATACGAGTTCTTGAGAGATTTCCGCTTGAAATAAACACACTTTAGCCACTGAATGAGATGCATTACTGATTTCCCTCTCCGTGCATGTCTATTCAGGGTGGAACGTTGCCGATTTCCGATTATTTGGCAGAGATGCCAAGAAACAAAGCCAAGATCCTCCGACAGATGTCCCACTTAATATTGAACCACGACACCATTTATAACCCGTTAATCCACATCTGTGGCTATTTAATATGCTGAGGAAAGATGAGGAAAGTTACAGGCTTCAACTGAACTTTAGCTTTAAATACCATGCATGGCGTTTCACTACTGGTTCTGACCAGTATTGGAGTGTTTACGTGAGATGAAGCTCCGGATAGAAGTGTGTTCAAGCTCCCGGGTCAGTGTCTGTCAGGGGATCCGATCTATTAATATCTCAGCCGTTTCTGTCAAAGCTCCTCCGTTTGTGCTGATAAAGATGTAGTGACGCAGGCAGGGTTATTTTAGGATCGTCGATATACTACACCGTAAAAAATTATTAGAAGTTGTAAATAAAAAGATTATTGGAGTCTTTCATGATTTATTCAATGTGTTACTTGCCGGTTCTTATATTGTTTGCTGAAAGCATGCATGTAAAGTTTAAGTGATGTTTAAGTATTTTAGTTTTAGTTAGCCCAAAGGTGTGAGTGTGTGTGTGTGTGTATGTGCGTATGTGCGTGTGTGTTTCTCTCTCTCTGTGTGTGTTTCTCTCTGTGTGTGTGTGTGTGTGTGTGTGTGAGAGAGAGAGAGAGAGTTTCGTTTTATTGTTAGTTAACCCTGAAAGGAGTCTATAGCGCACATAATGAACGGGTGCCCTGCGTTCAAAGGCCTTTACATCGTGCGCCACGATCGCATCGTAAACACAACAGCTCAAGAACTGCGCAAAGTTTCTGGACAAAGTGCAATACATACGAACAAGACTGGTCAAACTAGTTGGTTTTCAAATCTGAATGATAACACAAACCTTCTACAAAGTGTCCTCAGAGAAAATCCAAACACTCCAGACATTGTAGTTGTCAATGAACTCTCTAAAAACATTCTGATTCTGGAAGTGGGTTGTTGTTTTGATATTTACATGGACTTGTGTTTTTCTGAGAAAATGTTAAAATACCAGTCATTAACAAATGCTTTAGCAGTGTGTGGTTACAGCACAGAACTGATCATCCTAATCTTTGATAGTCTAGGACATGTGCACAGATTATGCGTCAGGGGTTTGGAAACTGCTGGACTGAGTAAAAAGATCTCTAAGCAAACAGCCGAATACTGTTCTGTGTCGGCAATCATAGGCAGTGTGTGTGTGTGTGTGTGTGTGTGTGTGAGCAATCACAGGCAGTCTGCATGTTTGGAGGAGGCGATGTCACCTCTATCCATAGTCTATTTATTTATATATTCATGTGGTTGTGACGATTTTCGATGTGTGTATTGTCAGGTGAAACTTAACAGGCCCTTTGTGAATATTTGGATGCTGTGTTGTTTTAATCAGTATTGGTCATTCCAAATAAAATAATCAAATGTGTTTGTGTGTGTGTGTGTGTGTGTGTGTGTGTGAGAGAGAGAGAGAGAGAGTTTTCGTTTTAGTGTTAGTTAACCCTGAAAGGAGTCTAACTTTATCATTAACAGTTGTCCATTTCATGCTTGACTGTATTTCGGGTCACGGGAGGCATGAGAGTTCAACGCCATCGTATTTCACCCCAGAAATGTCTGTCCTCGTCTTTCTGCCCACAATCAAGGGTAGTTATCGCCAACACTCGCCCGCAAGTGACAGCAGCAACTGGACCAGAGGGTCGTGAAACTCAGTAGGAGTTGCCAAGATATGTTTCCAATCCTCAGTGTGTCTCCGGACTGTGTTTGTGACGTGAAGGAAATGTGCTTCGGAGTCTCTAGCAGATGAGAAGAAGACGGGCAGAAATGGGTGGAAAGAAATCCAAGATCTCGGCAGACGACGACACGACGCATTCGGCAAGAAAGACTCCCGAGGAAAACCTTCCCAGCGCCGAACGCATTCGCAAACACATGACCACACACTTCGGCTACAGCGTTCTCAGCCTGGCTCGGCGTGGGATTCGGGATCCTCCGGAGGGTCTGTGGGATCTGACGGATCTACAGAAACTCAACCTGTCACTCAACTCTCTACGATCCATTCCCTCGTCTCTGGGATCGTTGGAAAACCTAGTGGTGTTGAATCTGTGGGGGAACCAGCTGACCAGTTTACCGCCTGAGATCGGGCGTCTCCGAAACCTGAAGGTGCTCTTCGCGTATCGGAATCGGTTAAGCGACGTTCCCGAGGAACTGGGATGCTGCACTAAACTGGAAGTTTTAAGTCTGGCTAATAATCTTCTCACCGGCCTCCCGTCGACGCTTTCATCCCTCGACGGACTCAAGAAGCTCAACCTGAGCCACAATCACATCAATCACATCCCCGGATGCGTTTACGCCATGAAGAGCCTGGTGTTCCTGCAGCTGGCCTGCAACAGACTGGAAAACATCGCGGATCAGATCCAAGCGCTGGCCGACTTAAAGGTGACATATTACGCCTCTTTTCACAAGATGTAATATAAATCTATGGCGTCCCAGAATGTGTTTCTGAAATTTCAGCTTAAATTCCCCCAGATCATTTATTATAGCTTGTCAAATTTGCACCGTTTTTGTGTGTGTGTCCCTTTAAATGCAAATGAGCTTTAGCTCCGCCTCCGTTCAGAAGAGGGCGGAGCTTCAGAGACTCCGGCAATAACAACACAGGCCGATCTCACTGATCCAGAGTCAGGAGTAACAGCAGCGAGTGCAGCCTTACGGAGAGACTCAGGGAGAGCTTCACTTTTACACGTTTCTGAATGTTAGCGGAGACATTTCTGTAGTTGTTGTGGAGTTACACTGATCATCTCCTCATCATGTTGAACTCTTCCACAAGTGTCCACAGTTCCTGAGGTGTTTATAAGACAGCGCTGACATGTTCTGGTCAATAGTGTTCAGTGTCGTCTGTGCTCGACCACAGAACAGTTTCAGGCTTTGCTGGATCTTCTCCAGTGCGTTAGAACTGGTCTCTGTTGGCGCTCGCCGAACCCAATGTCGCTGGTGTGTGTAAACGTGCAGATTAAGGGCCGGGAATATTATAATAAGATCCTAAGGAAATCTGCTAAATCTGATTTATTTTGCAGAGAAAGGCTCACCAAAACAAACTGGGTTTCACTTGTCACGGTCTCTGGGTTGCACCGGCTACCCGATTATAGCACTTAAACACGGAAAAAGTCTGATTTTCATGATATATTCCCTTTAAAGATCCTCATCGTCGAGGGAAACTGCATCCACTCGCTTCCCAAGATGCTCTGCCGTCTGACCAAGCTGGAGCTCCTGAATGTGGACTTCAACGACATCCAGAGCGTCCCGGCGGAGATGCACCGGCTGAGACGCCTGGAGAAGTTAGCGTGCCATCCGCTGGATAAAGGCCTTCACATCGTGCACAATCCCCTGCTGAAACCCATCAAAGAGGTTCTGGACGGGGGTCTGCAAGCGCTCTACAGTTACCTGAGGAACCCGTAACACACACACTCTACAGTTACCTGAGGAACCCGTAACACACACACTCTACAGTTACCTGAGGAACTCGTAACACACACACTCTACAGTTACCTGAGGAACTCGTAACACACACTCTACAGTTACCTGAGGAACTACAGTTACCTGAGGAACTCGTAACACACACTCTACAGTTACCTGAGGAACTCGTAACACACACTCTACAGTTACCTGAGGAACTCGTAACACACACTCTACAGTTACCTGAGGAACTCGTAACACACACTCTACAGTTACCTGAGGAACCCGTAACACACACACTCTACAGTTACCTGAGGAACTCGTAACACACACTCTACAGTTACCTGAGGAACCCGTAACACACACACTCTACAGTTACCTGAGGAACCCGTAACACACACACTCTACAGTTACCTGAGGAACTCGTAACACACACACTCTTCCATGTTTATTTAAATGAATCCCGTCGTTGCAATCTCAGAAATTAAGTGATTTTTTGTATTCAATGTTTCAACTCATGATAAACTGCAGAAGTAAGAGTAGAAGAATGTGTGTTCAGCCATAAACACAGTGAGGGAGAGTGTGTGTGTGTGTGTGTGTGTGAGTGAGTGTCTGTGTGTGTGTGTGTGTGTGTGTGTGTGTGTGTGTGTGTGTGTGTGTGTGTGTGTGTGTGTGTGTGTGTGTGTGTGTGTGTGTGAGTGTGTGTGTGTGTGTGTGTGTGTGTGTGTGTGAGAGAGAGGGCGTGTGTGTGTGTGTGTGTGTGTGTGTGTGTGTGTGTCTGTGTGTGTGTCTGTGTGTATGTGTGTGTGTGAGTGAGTGTCTGTGTGTGTGTGTGTGTGTGTGTGTGTGTGTGTGTGTGTGTGTGTGTGTGTGTGTGTGTGTGTGTGTGTGTGTGTGTGTGTGTGTGTGTGTGTGTGAGTGTGTGTGTGTGTGTGTGTGTGTGTGTGTGTGTGTGTGTGTGTGAGAGAAAGGGCGTGTGTGTGTGTGTGTGTGTGTGTGTCTGTGTGTGTGTGTGTATAGTGAGTGTGTGTGTATAGTGAGTCAAGAGCTGGTGGAAGAGTTGTGTGTTTCCTCACTATAACTCGAGCTCAGAGACACTGCAGTGAATGAATGTGTGGAGAGGGTCAAAGGTCGAAGGTCAGCAGCATCTCTGAGCCGGTGAAGGTCAGTCGTACTGAAATCTTCTGCTGGTTGTGTGTGTGTGTGTGTGTGTGTGTGTGTGTCGAGACGAGGCTCGTTAAACCTGCTAAACAAGCACTCGATTCCTCGTCCTTTGACTCGCTGATCATGTTTCTCACCTCGTTCTCCTCGACTGAAGGCAAACACACGAGAACAAACACACATCCATTACTGAGAGAAGGTCAGGCTGGAGACCTCAGCGCTGTGGGTTTCTTCAGCTTAACACACACACACACACACACACATAGAAATCCATGTGACTAACTAATGCTCAATATTAAAAATACTGTAAATGCTCAATCTAAAATTTTTGTGTTAAGGTGTAATTACCATTGTGCAAATGCCATATATATATACACTCACCGGCCACTTTATTAGGTACCCCATGCTAGTAACGGGTTGGACCCCCTTTTGCCTTCAGAACTGCCTCAATTCTTCGTGGCATAGATTCAACAAGGTGCTGGAAGCATTCCTCAGGGAGTTTGGTCCATATTGACATGATGGCATCACACAGTTGCCGCAGATTTGTCGGCTGCACATCCATGATGCGAATCTCCCGTTCCACCACATCCCAAAGATGCTCTATTGGGTTGAGATCTGGTGACTGTGGAGGCCATTTTAGTACAGTGAACTCATTGTCATGTTCAAGAAACCAATTTGAAATGATTAGAGCTTTGTGACATGGTGGAAGTAGCCATCAGAGGATGGGTACATGGTGGCCATAAAGGGATGGACATGGTCAGAAACAATGCTCAGGTAGGCCGTGGCATTTAAACGATGCCCAATTGGCACTAAGGGGCCTAAAGTGTGCCAGGAAAACATCCCCCACACCATTACACCACCACCACCAGCCTGCACAGTGGTAACAAGGCATGATGGTTCCATGTTCTCATTCTGTTTACGCCAAATTCTGACTCTAACATCTGAATGTCTCAACAGAAATCGAGACTCATCAGACCAGGCAACATTTTTCCAGTCTTCAACTGTTCAATTTTGGTGAGCTCTTGCAAATTGTAGCCTCTTTTTCCTATTTGTAGTGGAGATGAGTGGTACCCGGTGGAGTCTTCTGCTGTTGTAGCCCATCCGCCTCAAGGTTGTGCGTGTTGTGGCTTCACAAATGCTTTGCTGCATTCCTCGGTTGTAACGAGTGGTTATTTCAGTCACTGTTGCCCTTCTATCAGCTCGAACCAGTCTGGCCATTCTCCTCTGACCTCTGGCATCAACAAGGCATTTCCGCCCACAGAACTGCCGCTCACTGGATGTTTTTTCTTTTTCGGACCATTCTCTGTAAACCCTAGAGATGGTTGTGCGTGAAAATCCCAGTAGATTAGCAGTTTCTGAAATACTCAGACCAGCCCTTCTGGCACCAACAATCATGCCACGTTCAAAGTCACTCAAATCACCTTTCTTCCCCATACTGATGCTCGGTTTGAACTGCAGGAGATTGTCTTGACCATGTCTACATGCCTAAATGCACTGAGTTGCCGCCATGTGATTGGTTGCTTAGAAATTAAGTGTTAACGAGCAGTTGGACAGGTGTACCTAATAAAGTGGCCGGTGAGTGTATATGTATGTATGTATTTATATGTGTGTGTATATATATATATATATTTATTTTTATTATTTTTTTGTCAGTATAGTAACTGGTTGGTGACTGTTAATGTTTTGTACAACTTGAAAACAGATGCTGTTCCTTTACAATTTAGCTCAAACAGTAGCGCTTGCAACGCCAAGGTCATGGGTTCGATTCCCAGGAAAGCAATAGTTGATAAGAATGTAAGTGTGTACCTTGAAATGCAATGTAAGTCGCTTTGGATAAAAAGCGTCTGGTAAATGTACAATTTAAGTATAATCAAATTGTTTAGTAATTTCAACTAAAATATTGTCTAGTTGAATCTTGAATAACTTAAAAATGAAGTTGAATTTTTTTGTCATGACTTATTGATTATGTAAAAACATTTTTTACAGTGTATAAGGAGACATCTTAATATTTATTTATGTTTCTGTGCTTTTGTGATATCTGGTTCTGTACCAGCAGAGCTCCTCTCTCTCTCTCTTTCAGTGTGTGAATGAGACTCGAGCGCTGTTGCTCTAGCGCCCCCTGTCGTACAAGCCCTGCAGTGCAGCTCATGACTGTCACTCAGAATCATATAATTATATATATTAGTCTGATATAGTGAGAATATGGAGGAAAAACAGCTCAGTTTTATTCAAAGGCCCAAACTGAGCATTGAATTCCCATCCCAATAGAAACCTGCGGTTTCTAACCTGAAAAAATGCTTTATTATTACAAGGCCATAATTTTATAATTCTGCTCAAGTATCTCCACTTATTAAACATATGAGGACATATATTAAAAGCAGCCTTGGAGTGTTTTAGAAACGTATTTTAGCGCTCTATAATGCCAAAACCTGCCCTCTTCATACTCAAGAAACGTCCAAGGTTCATTTATTAAAAAACGTTATCATTGATTTGTAAAGTAACGCGTTCTGTTCATTGTGAAGGTTATTAAACTAAAGATGTTTTCAGTCATGATTAGAGAAATTAAATGTGATTAATTTACTCGTGTTCAGTAAATCCACTGGAATAAATGTCACGATTATCATGAGCTCTTTCTCTGAGGATCTCGACATCCATCAGACCTCCATAATGCATGATGAAGTGATGCATCTGTATCAGTAAATCATATTTTATATAAACACAGTTCAGACATGCTCTGCTCTCGGTTACACAGACATCCGCTCAATGAATGTCGTTCCGAACAGTATATAACAGTATCGCCTGCGTAGAAATTAAACCGCCGTGGGTATCGGAATTAAGACAATTTATGTATGAAGTAAATGATAACGGCCCCAACACAGAGCCTTGTGGGACTCCCTCATCAACCTCCACTAGATCTGACGAGCACTCGCAGTTCTGCCCTTTAAATGAGCAGTAAACCACAGAACTATCTGATAATGCAACACTTGTCTATATCATGATCCAAAGCCTCTGTTAAATCAATAAAGTGACATGCACGATGAAACTTTTCATCTAAAAACTTTTAAAACAGTCGTATTGGTGCTTTTTATGGAATCAAGATCGTATTTGAATACCATATCAGTTGTTCACTTCACTTACATAATTTTCCAAGAGTTTTGACAGAATACAAAGCTGTGTGTGTGTGTGTGTGTGTGTGTGTTGGGTAGGTTTAGGGGTAGGGTAAGTGTAAGGGGACAGAATATATAGTTTGTTCAGTATAAAAAACATTACACCTATGGAGGTCCTCAGAAGTATAGCAAAACAAACGTGTGTGTGTGTGTGTGTGGGAGTGTGTTCAGTGTGTGTGTGTGAGTGCGTGTTCAGTATTCAGTGCGTGTGTGTGTTCAGTGTCTGTGTGTTCGGTGTCAGTGTGTGTGTGTGTTCAGTGCGTGTGTGTGTTCAGTGTGTGTGTGTGTGTGTGTGTGTTCAGTGCATGTGTTCAGTGTGTGTGTGTGTGTGTTCAGTGTGTGTGTGTGTGTGTGTGTGTGCGCGCATGTTCCCTTGACTTGAGGAGGAACATCTGAGACAAATGTAATGCTAATGTAATTAAACTCATCTCAATTAATAATAACATCTAAATTAACTACTTTTATTTAAGTCAAAAATATTTTTTTCATATCGCTGAATCAACCTTAACACATTAATTCATACCAACACAATACATTTTTATGAGTTAAATCAAGTAAAAACAAGGAACCAATTGCAGGTTTGACAGTGTGAGCAATGAAGGAGCGATAAGATCTTGTTATATTGTGTTGAAAGCACATGGTGGTCTAGTGTGCAGTGTGTGTGTGTGTGTGTGTGTGTGTGTGTGTGTGTGTGTGTGAGCATGCTCAGACCCGTCCTGTTCCTCAGAGGAATCTCAAACACACACACACACACACACACACACACACACACACACACACACACACACACACACACACACAC